AAAAAAGCAGCATATTCCGATAAAAGTGCATGTTCAATAGCTAGCGGCGGTTCAAGTTCGATTGGCGGCAATAGTACAGCGACGCTGGGCAATGATTATCCCAGTTTAAGTGCATCCGACGATATTCCAGACGACATTGAATTTTTTACGAATTATGGTAAAATGCACATATTATCCAAAGCACTAACAAATAATATCGACGTATAACCAAATGGATTTCGACGAAAACCGATTGTTCCTAAACCAAAATTAACTACATTGCAATAATAATTTTTTTTGTTTATCATTTGTTATTAATTTTCAAATTGTTCCTTTCAATACTTTGATGTCATATTTGCAAAGCTCATTTTTGTTTGATCGTGTTACCATTCAATAGTTCTTATGTACATACATGAATTTTTCTTTTGTTGAACTTTTACTGAAAATTAATCGAATTTTTGACATTTTTCCTCAATATAGATAATGCCCATGCATTGTTTGTTCGAGCCACATATTTGGTGTGTCATCGATTGATATCTTCGTGGAAAACTGATTTGAATGTTTCTCTCGCAGCACTAGAACTGCTATCTGGTCTCGCTCGAATGAATATCAAAGATTCTGGTAAGCAAATGTTTTCTTCTTTTTGAAGCAATATTGTCAATAAATAAAAAAATGCTCCAATTTTTAGATCCACTTGAATGTAAGCGGGCCGTAAAATGGATTTGTGATTACATTTGTTATCAATGTTCTCGGCCACCTCCAGCTCACAGCAAAGATTTGCACAGCACCATTGTGGCAGCATTCCAATGTACGTCAGCATGGTTAATTCAGCATCCATATTTGTTGCAAGACAAAGAATGCCTGACAACAGTTTTAGAAGTGGTAGAATTGGGAATTTCGGGTTCAAAGAGCGTTGGAAAACCAGGCGAACCAATTAAATTGAAGGAAGACAAAGAACTGAAGCCGGTTTCAATGAGAGTGCGTGAAGCAGCTGAAACAATGTTAACACTTGTACTCGAGCAAGTTGGTTTCTTTCCTAATGAATGTGGTCCACAATCGATTTCATCTTTGTTGGACGAGATCACACTTTACAAACACTGTATTTCACATCCGAATGAAAAGAGTGAAACATCAATATCAGCCGAACAAGCTGTGCAAAAGTTTCGATATTTTGTCACCGAAAACTCGACCATTCTAGCATTATTGGAAGAACCATTGGGAAACGATCAAGATCCACAGCCGACAATTACATGTAAGATTTTTCAAAAATCACTGCTACATTAAGTGATTCTAATAGATATTTCTCTCAAATTCAGTACTACTTCGAGGACCCTTCGGTCGAAATGCATGGACCTTACAATTAAGACATTTGCCGCGTTCCAAATCTGGTACGAAATATCATGCACCAAATCCAGGTCGACCGGTTCCAATGAATGATGTGGTAATGCGACAAGAAATCGAGCAAAAATTCTATCCGGATGGTGTTGAGAGAATTGTATCATGTGTGGCTGACTATTCAATTCCGACGATTGACTCAGTAATTCAGAAAATTGGTAGCAAAGCCAGTACGCAATTGGTTCAATTGTTGGAAAATCAAACGGTTGCGGAGAAATTGGCATGGGCTGAAACCGATAATTCAGACGATGGCTTAAATGGTGAATCCGAAATTGATGCACCACCAGTAGTGAACGAATTCCAAGCGGCACGATTATTTTTGTCACACTTTGGTTTCTTGTCGATTGATGAAGATAAATCAACCGATGAAAATGATTCGATGGTCGATTTTCCAGTTTTAACTGCACTCGATACTAAACAACCGGGATTTTTAACCGATTTACAGGCATTAGATAAGCTTAGTCCACGCACAAATGACACACTTCATATATTTTATGTAAAAGTCGGTCAAAGTTCAGCAACTGAAATCATTGAAAACGTTTCCGAAACAAATGTTGCTTCGCTCGACAAACATTTTTGGAATGTTCTTTTGAATTTGGGATGGCCAGTTGAGATCGAAGAGCATGCCGGATGGACTGGTTTCGTCAACACAAGCTGGAAAATTCAAACGAGCACAGTGGTCACATCGAAAAAAGATTTCAATGTTAATACGCCCGAAAATATGAAATTCAATGGTGAAAAGCGTATATTGTATTGGGCTGATGTTAGTGGTGAAATCGCATTTGTATTGCCAACAAAATGGAATAAAACGGACGATGCAGCCGACGGTAGCTGTTTATCTTTGGCTTCTTCATCGTCAAATGACAGTGAAAAAACACATCCCAATCTAGGCGATCGAAGCTTTAGTGTTCAACAAGGGAATACAGCGAAAGTGTCAATTGGTCAAAAGCCACGAACACTTTCACTTGAACTGGATAGACCAAAATCACATGGCAGTCCTGGTAATGATCCAGTTGCACCGGCTAGACGTCGAACATGTGCAATTAAACCAGCCCTATCTAGCCAGAGCGGTGTGAAAATTTTTATGGTTTGGCTTGAGAGTTTCGAAGATTATCTCAATTTCCCAACCGACGAATTACTGAATTATGCTAGAACTGGCGAAGAATATCAATCTGGACAAATACCAAGGGCCAGTGATTGTCACATTATATTTTTGCAATCTTTGAATTCTGGCCTGCTACGTGTAAAACTACAAGGACCAAGTGGTAGAATGAACTTTGCATCGCCACTGGTTGACGGAATGGTTGTTAACAAACGCACCGTTGGCACACTTATTCGACAAACTGTTTACAACATGGCCAAACGCAGACGCCTTGATAATGACTTGTATCAGCCGCCTCATGTACGAAGACGTTTGAAGGCATTAGACATTGTGCACAAATATAAATTAGATATGTCAGAGCCCGAATTATTAGCACACCTCTTTAAGAGCTCATCAAGCACCTAAGCAATATGTGCAATTCGTGCATCAAAATTATCACACTATTGAATACTTAGGACAATTAATTTTGAAAAAAAAGGTCAATTTTTACTTTCGAAAAGTATTAACAAGACTTACTTCAATTTATCACTAAACTTTAACAAGATACTTATATGAATTTTTTTCATAAAATAAAACTAATTTATTCAAGAGAAAATTAACTATGAATTTCATTTTTCTAGAAGAGTTATTGTGAATATATTTTGACCTTGAATGATTAGTGAAGTTTTCTGATGGTGAGATAACTTTCTCTGAATTATAGACTACCGCTTAATTTTTTAATTTCAGAAAAACTATGACCAATTACAATTCACGTAGAACGCAATTAAGCCCATGGTTTTGCAAAATTTATATTTCAGCTCCTGACGATATCTGACTGAGCTGATTCATCTGGCTGAAAATATCTCATTATAATGTCTGATAAAAACAGTTATTTTCTACTACAGCTCGTACACTACTGCTCGTACAAAAATTACTGTTAACATTCTAAAAGAGACATATGACATAATTTGACAATTTGATGGAGAGACAAGCATATTCCCCATATTCCCGGGGACACACACACACTCACATACACCGACACCAACATTCGCAGACATTGAGTGGAGAATACGATTAGATCGCAGCTCAAAGAAACAGATCACAACATGACAAAATGATACAATGAAATGTGTATAATTTAATTGAGTGAAAAAAAAATATTCATTGTAATAATCATAATTGCATTTGTTATTTTTTTTTTGCATTTTCTTTCAACCGAATTTTGTATGGGAGGTGACCTCGTTTTTTTTTTTGAATTTTTTTAAACTTGCTGGGATTATGTATCTTGGTAAAAAAATAATATTCACAAGTTTTCACGGTGATTTAAGTCACTGAAACCATACATAGACCATAATTTCAGTTTATTCCCAAAATTTCGGTTCCATACGGAAAAGTCAGCTTGCGTACGTAAGCCTCTTTATTTTTTGAATTCACTTGCCAACCTGCCAAATCGACAATTTTCAATATTTTTCCAAACTCTCGAAAGTTTTGAGTTTTTAGAGAGCACTCTCACTGTGGCTTCTCAGTGTCTCCACTCATTTGTATAACTTTCAATCTTGACTTTTAGTAAGTAGAATTGGCTTAGCCGTCATATAAATACCTCATTTGAAAGGAGTCCTTTCGAACTAATATTTTTTCAATTCACATGCCCCGTATATATTTTTATACGTCGCAAATTCTAAAAACGATATAATAGTTTTTTCTATAGTAAATTTTTCAAAAAAATATTTTTACGCGTCGCAAAAAAGAAAAAACTATTATATCACTTTTAGAATTTGCGACGCATAAAAATATTTTTTTGCTAGGGAAACAACTTCGCAAAAGAATATAAACAAATATATACGAATATGTCACCAATATATTCCAATATACTTAACTTAATACTCTAGCTATTAGAGTATTACTCTAGTTACTTAAACTAGACTCATTGTAAAAATATTATTGAAAAGAAAATGTTTTAATAAAAAACCGAAAAAATGGTTTTTTCTTGATTAGTATAATTAAAAAAAATGTTTTATATTATCTTTTTATTTTTTATTTTTATTTTCAATAATATATATTTTTACAATTTGTACTCTAGCAAATACTTGTACTCTAGTATTTACAAGACTTTTTTGTATAATATATTAGAATATATTGGTGGCATATTTGAAAAAAGTGGTTCCATATTCGTATACGAATATAAACCAATGTGTCGCAAATATTTGTCAATAAATTGCGACTATATACACGCAATATCCCCCTACTTTTTTTAAAAAAATTTCCTATTATATAGTTTTTAGATTTTGCGACGTATAAAATAAAAAATTTACTATAGAAAAAACTATTATATCGTATTTAGAATTTGCGACATATAAATTGGAAAACACTTCAACAATGCTATTCTCTGATTTGATCGAGAATCGCAGTTTCTGTGGCGATTTTTCCGTACGAAATGCATAGTAAAAACATTCATTTGTTTGCAACCAAATTGTTTCTTCCGTTGAATCTTGACCAAATTTGACAGATGCTGACATTGAATTA